ACACATGAAGATGCACCAGGGCCTGACAACGTGTTCGATCTGTGGTCGGGTGGCCAACAAGGTGCCCGACCTGCGTCGGCACCTGCGAGACGTACACAAAATGTCACCGGAAGATGTCTTACGCATGGTGCCGTCGAGTCTCAGGAGACGCGAGTCTCCCAGCGGCCGGCAGCACTAGCGGAAGGGACGGCGTGGCAGTGCCTACGCTGTCCCGCTTTCGCCGGGGCGTGGTAGCGGTCAAGTCCAGGCGTTGGTCCCAGTGCAAACGATGCCGGAGTACTCTGAAGCATGTGTCAAGTGTTTACGGCATGCTGTGGTCTTAACTTGTCGGATTTAATTAGCTGTCAGCAGGCGCTCAACGGCGTTCAATGTTCATGGAGTGGGTTACGCGCAGCTGAGACGTGTACCTGAACGTGGTTGCATGGAGCTGACTCGTGGCGCCGAATGTGAAGATCGGACCTCACGCGTGTCGCCGAATGTCTGGTCTGCACGTCGCTGAATTGTTTTATTCCATTATTATGCCGGTTTGCTCATACCAAGAATATACTTACGGAAACGAGAAAATGTTAAATTGTGGCGTACGATGCAGTCCTTAATAAACTGCAAGAGTTGCGTAACGCCTTGTCACGACGAACTAGATGTCACGAGTTAGTTTGACATGTGTTTTGTATCACTTGCTGCTTCCACAACTGTGAACCCATTCTCAAAATGTTACCTACTGCTTTGACAAAAAGTTGGAGAGATGGGTGAACTCGGCAAGTAGTTGGTTAACCGTGCGCTGGCCTGCGGGATAAATGGACTATGTTATGGAGTAAGCGTCTTCAGCGTGCTTTTGCTGATCTACGACGCGTGTATCGAACAAAAACGTCATTTAATCAGGAGGAAGTGATGGCACCTTTCGGCCTTTGTCCACACTGGACAGCGTTGATCTATTTTTATTTTTGTCCGTGAATGAGCGTGCATATTATCACATATTCCGTTTGAAGTGCGATCCAGGCCTTATGCCGAACATCTCGCAGGTTTTCTAACCCCCACCATTCCTGCTGTTCCCAGATTTTGAATCCGGGAATGTTTGTCAGATATGTGGGCGCGTTTACTCCCAAGATTCCTTGAAAGCTCACATGAAGATGCACCAAGGGTTGACGACGTGCCCGATCTGTGATCGAGTGGTCAATAAGGTCGGAGACTTACGCCGCCACCTAAGGCTTGTGCACAAGACGACTCGGGAAGAGGTCGACCGCCTGGTGCCGTCTGGTAGGCGGAGTGCTTCTGTCGGAGGCCAGCAGCGCTGGTGTTAGGGACGGCACAGAAGGGTTGCTGCCCGGATGGCGTTAGGCTGTGTTATTGCCTGTCATTCAGAGTGGCAGCGTTTGGGTGGCTGTTGTGCTTCGTGTCACGGCTAGCCGAGCCATGGGAATGATGCCGGCGTCGGTGCGTGCGATTGCTGTATGGCACTGAACTTTTGCAGCATGCCTCAGTTTCCCGCCCGGCCGGCCTGAAGCTAGTTTGTGAGCTGCTAGAACTTCAGTGTGATCGAAGATGTTAGCTTAGACTTGTGCTGTGACAGACTCTGAGAAGACTAAGTATCATTTTCCATGCTGCGTGCGGGCAGCGCAGCTGTCCGGCACAATTGTGAACTTGTTCCAGTTATCGTTGATGCATAATTGATAGCCAGCTCAAATGCGCTGATATGCAATCCGACACGGGAGGGGATCGTTGGCGCAGTTTGTCTCTCAGTTATCATCGTGGTATGATGATACCGTGGTGCTTTAGGCTTGGGTGCGTTCATTGAGGGGTCATTATCTCGTGGTTGGTATTTCCTTGGTGCCAGATTGGTGTCTGCAATAAACTACGGGTCGCGCGCAATATGCGCTCCCGGCGTTCTCCACGGGTTTATAGCTGTCTTCTTCCTTTACGCGGGCGGCGGTATGCACTGTTATGCCGACAGCGAGCAAGTCACATGCTCTTGAACGCATCGACCGGGGAAAGTTGACACGAGGTTGAACGCGTTTTTGACGGTAGGAACTGCAATATTTATTGAAGGTCCACCATTTGTCGCAGCCGCGCTATTTATGTGCGTGCTGTGAATTACGAACCACGTTCCGTCATCTGTATAGCCGAAGTGTGTACACCGAGTTACTTGGAAGGATCCGTGGCCGAGCTACGATTAGAGGGGGAAAGGAACAAGAGAGAAAACAAAGTGGTACATTCCCAAGTGCGTTGATCATTGTGACAGTGAAAATTATAATGGGTGAGGGAGTCTGACGATAATTTTGGGCCTCAACGCCATTCTTTCCATGCATTGGCATAAGACGGGCATTATATATATATATATATATATATATATATATATATATATATATATAGACACATGTTATCAAAAGATATTGTGACGGTTGGTTCGACCGTGTCATTTTTGTACATTGTTGGTTAACATGGGCGTGTTGGTTGATCGATGCCGTGATGATAACACTTTCATGAATGAAATTTATTTGTTACAGGCAGTTTTTTCTCATTTCGATCCTTGCGTTCGGGTCCGATGAGTAGTACGGTGCTTGAAGCATGTCACATGGTCTGACTCGCGCACTATTACCGACCCTCTGCCGGAGCTCTTATTAACGTGGTTGTCGCCTTTGAGGTGAAGTGGCATGTAGTGGCGTTTAGTAGGAGACACATGACAGATTACTACAAAGCATTTTTCCTCTTTATCAGGTGTATCCTGCGTTGCGTTTTAGTCAGTCAGTTGCCCGCCTAAGTCGTCCCAGACGACTACGCTGCCCGCCCATGTCCTCCCAGACAGCTACGCTGCCCGCCCATGCCTTCCCAGACGGCCACGCTGCCACGTACGCTCTCATGCTATTTGCACCTCTCGCGATAGCCTGCCATGCGTGTACACGCGTTTTCAACCGCCCACAGGTTCTCTGTCGTGCGACACGTGTGGGCGCCGCTTCTCGCACGCCATGTCGCTTTCGCTACACAAGAAGGTCCACGAGGGTCTCACCACCTGCCTGCTCTGCGGCAAGGTGTCCAGCAAGGTCTCTCACCTGCGCCGCCACATGGTGCTGGTGCACAAGCTGAGTCGAGAAGAGATTCATCGGCTGGTGCCGTTCCGGGACCGCGCCCGCTGAGAACGCGGCCCGCTCAGCACCAAACGGAACGAGGTCGTTCACAGACTGCTCCCGATGACAATGGGGCTCCTGATGGACGTCTCTTGAAATGGCGTGGTTCCGGAGGATACTGAGGATGTGATCCTGCTCAACGCCAGTTACAGCGCGACCGTTCCAGGACGGCATCCGTTGTCGTGGGTCGCTACCAACAGCGGCAGTCGCTGACGGCACCAGCACCACGTTTTCTGAGATCGTCCACTGAAACCACGCCAGTTTGGTTGGATGGTGTGCGGACGTAAATGGGGCACTTCAACAATGGACGCCGCGCAGCCTTTGAAGAATCGCTGTGACCAGTTACTCTGGCTGTTGCGGGCCGAAAAAATGCCGTTAAGGTTTACCATGGTTTAGTACAGTAGTTCTGAATTCAGTGGAGACAATCTTGACATATTCGTGAGTGCGTGTGGGAGGGAAGACCTGGTTAGTGCACATGCGTTTTGCATGCGATACGTTTCTCATGTCTGCCGAAGTTTGTGGGTTAGTTCCACAAGTCCCTTAAATCCTATAATCTTATGACATCTGTGCATACATTTGAGCAATCATTGTTGTGAAGGTACCTAGGAATCAGTTGTATGGTCATGCTGTCTTGATGAGCACGGCTATGGAGTCGTTCACAAGGACATTTGTATTCAATTCACAGTTGTGCGATAGGTTCGGAGATGTCGGGATTGAAAGGAAAGCAGCTCCCGCGGAATTGATGGCAAACGGTGTGGAATATTGGAAAAGGCGGTCACTTGAGGCCCTTGTCCTGCGCAGCCGTCTCAACAATTCCGTGTTACGTGCTTCGCGAATTGTGTTGGATGGAATAAGTGGATTCGTGACCCATACTAACTGGGTTTTGGGTTTTGGACATGCAGGATGTGGTTGGTGTCGTACCTCTGGTTATCGTCCCTGGAAAAGCTGACATTTGTGGCTGTTTGGCGTGGTGATGAATTTGTTTTATAACAGTTGCGGTCAGAAACGATGACGAATGTGGGTGAACACAGTCTGGATTCGCCCGTTTTCAATGGCCACCTTTTCTTGTGGGCCACATGCAAGCAGGCGCTTCTGAAGCGGAACACCACGTGCTGAATCTTATTTTCTGTTGACGACCCTTTGACTGTTCACTGGAACTGTTTTGTACATAATAAACCAAGATGTGATGAGGGATTTCATCGTTTCGTACCGTCATGAATTTAGAACACTATACGTCTCTTAGTCGTGAGGTAGGCCTTGTCTACGCGTGACGGCTTAACTTCTACTACATTTCTGTTGAAATCTGCACTGATAAAGCTGACATATGTTTTAGTTACAACGGATACAAAAATGGCAAACTTATTCGTCGAGGACTGACGACCTGTGCCTCACGACTAGCATCTTCTGTCGATACTCGTCTGTCTTCTGCCTTTTCTTCCACTAAATATACAGTCTGAAAGCGCTGACGCAGACGCACTTTTCATCATCTTCAAATGGTCTAGGTCTAGGGTTGATTGTGTTGGGCCTGTTGCATGCTGAATGGATGGGAAGAAGCTTTGCTCCTATCGCACATGACTTGCAGAGTTGCAGATGTTCAATGCAAACGCGACTTGCGTCATCACGCCGTTATTTTGAAACGGCGTGCAGCGTGTCCTCTGCGGGCCACACTTGCTTATGAACCGGTCCAGTGGCCTGTCCACATTGCTACATTCGAACTCAACAGCACACATGTTTCACCTCTGCTGCGCTCTGCAGGCGCTTTGCACACGACTTCGAACACTCGTAAGTTACATCGTGCGTGACATGTAAGCAATAGAGCTCAGACGGCTGCCTCTCCGCGCCCGCCGCCGGCTGGCCCGATGACAGCTCGCGTCCCGGCAGGTTCCCACCGGTGCCCGGTGTGCGGCAGGACCTACCTACGCCACGACACGCTCACGCACCACCTGAAGCAGCACGAGGGCGCCACGCGCTGCATGCTCTGCGGCAAGACGCTAGGCAACGTGTTCAGCCTGCGCCGGCACATGCAGTGCGTGCACCGCGTGGCCGTGCAGGACGTACGCTCCATCGTGCCGACGCGCGTGCGCGGTCCGTACGAGTGGGAGGCGGAGGGGCGGGGCGAGCCGTCCGGCCCCGGCTAGCGTGTGCTGCCGGTTGTCGGGCACGCTGGCGGGTGCAGGCGTCCCGGACGCCGGCGTCCCGGCAGGCGCCTGGCCAGCTCCAAATGTGTCCGCCGCTGCGACGTCCTCAGAGATTTGTGTGTGTGTTGGCCGGAATGGCATGGGTGGTGGTGTAGTGATGCCCTGAAGGCCTTTTTCATCGTGCTATTGTGAGTGTCCAGACTGGTACTGCTGTCAGATGTCTTCGGGCATTTTGATTATTTTGCCCTAGCAGCAGCTTTTTTGCGCGACGGACGCTGAAACTGTAACTGAAATAGTCATCATTTTTCCACTGAATGGTTCCCTGTCTCACTTGTGCATTGTCAAACCATTTCGATGCCTTTGACATAGGCGAAGTCTCAGAAGGTGCTTTGGACAAGGTGGCCCAGTGGCCGCATAAATCTAGTGTTACCATTTCGTTCTGTAATCGTCAAAAATGTGTCAAGTGTTTTCTTGCTGGCTGCACGCTCGACAGCAATGAATTTAATTGAATTGCACGCAGTCCGTGTGCTTTTCACGCGGCTAGTGTATTATGGGCGATTGCGCTTCAGACAGGTGTGTTTTTTTTTCAGATTGTGGGCCAAGGTAATTGGCTGGCGTGTAACATGCGATTGCATTTTGTTGGTCATGTGATGTTTATCGTTAAGAATTGCGACGCTTCTTCTGCATGGCGTGTACAACATCGGTACATTCTTGGATTTATTGATGAATACATCTTTGCAGAGAAAGTGGTATATGCTCCGTTATCATTTTGCAGGAGTGACGCGCGGCCAGTGTAGTGATATACTCGTATATCGCACGCGAGGAATCGATTTCCATGGTGTATGTGTGATTGGTCACGAGGCCTGCGTACAATAATGAAGCAGCTGCCTGCATTGGCGCGTCGGGCATGGACAAGCGTGCAAGCCGAAGTTCCACGCATCCTATACAGTATTACTTCAAGTCTCAGCATGCGCTGTAAAATAAGTCGACTTAGCTTTTATCTGCAGTGTTCATGAATGGATGCTCCTGAGTTTGTGTTGTGCAGCGGTAAGCCTATTACGCCAGGCGGATTTGCAGAGCTCAATCCAGCTAACGCATTCTTCGGGTGCTTCAGCAGCTACGGTATGCATGCTTCACATAGGGTTTTCGACAATCTAGGCTACACGACACTCGTAAGCTCTGTAAGCTTTGGGCTGTAACAGCTTAGGGCGTCCAGCGCATGTACCGTTGCCCGTGCGCCCTCCTGACTGACCGCTCCGTCCGGCAGGTCCGCTGGAGCACCTGTGCAACACATGCGGCCGCCTCTTCCAAAGCGCGGCGTCTCTCTACAACCACAAGAAGCAGCACACGGGTCGAACCCACTGTCCGCTCTGTGGGGTGGTGTACTCAACGGTGCCAACGCTGCGGCGCCACCTGCTCACAAGACACGGCAAGACGCCCGACGAGGTGTACCGGCTGGTGCCGTGCGAGAACCGGTTGCGGAGGCACGGCACCTGAGGCCCGGCGTCGGTGCCGGCGCCGCGAGGACGCGCGTGCCGGACTGCGACACGCAGGAGCGTCAAAGACTGCACGTGACCTGGCGAGCAGGCGTGACCACCGCAAGGCTGGTTCTCACAGGCTGTTTCTGTTTTGGGCGATGCGACGCGTGGGTTGTGTCTGTAACTGGGCAGTTGAACCACCCGATTGCCGGTAGCAGGGTGGTGTCAAAATGTGGAAATGTGGACGGATTCTTGGCAACATGCAACAGTGGACGTCTGTGGATTTCTCAGAGTTGTATGCCGTACATCGGTGTTCTGTGCTTCAGTACACCGCAAGAACAGGAAGTGGGGACTCCGTTTGTGTATGTGTGGTACACGTGTAGTTATGCTAAGTTCGGGTTTCGCCAAGTATCTCCCCGCATAGGCTTGCTGGGTGTGGCGACAGAACTGGGGACGGTTGGATTCATCTATAAATTGTCAACGCGAGTCAGCATGAATATTTACTGTCTCGGGCGCATCTGCATGTGATTATCGATGACTTCAAAGCAGTGCTGGAAAGCACGCTGTGCAACTGTGATTCACCGTTAGTCTTTGACATCCATAGATCGCTAGAATTGAGTTGTCTGGTCAGAAATGTGTAACTGATGTGTGGAAAGAAGTTGTCAAATGATACTTTGCAGTCTTTCCATTGTCTTTATTTGCGTGGGTGTCGCAGCTTGTCTACCTGACTTATATTGATACCAACAGAAGTAGTGCATATGAACATGGAAACTGGTGCGAGGGACTTCGGAAAGCACGCAAAATCCATTACCGAATCGAAATACGCGAGTCTGCTTAAGACCAATCGTCTTTCCGGGAACAGTGTGGCATTTCTGTTGAGACAGGAACCCGCTAGGATAGTAGCATGGCTGAACAGCTTGTTGTAGTGACCTTATCGTGTTGCGTTCACTATTCCATGGGACACTGATGATGCGTATCGGATTTACGTAAGGTGTGTCCTGTTTTGTTCCTGGTTGCACGAGACCCATCTGCTATTTGTTCATTGCGGAAAAAAGGCAATGAAAAGCAAATGGAGGACTAGTTGCATTATTTTTCATTTTATTATATTTACTGCATATATGCCCGTACGCTTCAGTAAGGCTACGAAATGCGAGGTTTGTTGACGTTTAGCCGCACTATCGATAGCCGCCTAGCAAAAGTACTCGATCAATGCTCACTTAAATATCGGCAAACATTGCTTGGACTCCTTGTAGCTCCCGTGGCAATTAATATATCGTGGGTATTCTACATAAACGCTGCTTTTATGAATTTCACCGCAGAGTGCATCTGGCAATGTAGTCGGAACTATGGGAAGAAACGTCGTGTAAGCGTTAAAGCGTTTTGCATCGTCAGCACTACCAGAGGTTTCCCCTACCACGATCATCATACCTTTGAACGTAGTGTAAACGTTACCGCGTTTTGCATCGTCAGCACTACCAGAGGTTTCCCCTATCACGATCATCATACCTTTACACAACAGCATCGCTGCAACGATGCTGTTGGTGATGGGGACAACACTGGGTACGAGGATCACCAGATAAGCGGATATCCTGGATGTGGATATGCTTCTCCGTATCATGTTCTCAACACATTGGTTAATGCCTGTCGTGCAGGAATCGATACGATAGGATGTTGATGGTTTTGTGGTATGGTTTGCTTGTGTTGTCAGATGCATAGTTGTACATGGTGTTATTGACGGGGTGGACTCCCTATATGAGGTAAGGTTTGAATGCGAGTGGGCTCACCATATACGACACGCTTTGTGTTGGAAAATTGTTGCGTGATCTACTGCGGTATTCTGTGCCAATTCGGTTGTGGTGCCGTACAGGAATACAGACGGAAGGAAAATATGCCGCAGGTTTCCTAACCTACATGTACAGTCACAGTCAGCTTAACCGTGACTCGACTCATGACCTTCAGTTACCTAATGGTGTCTCAAACGACCACTGACATCACCCCCCCCCCCCCGCAGTGGCGCCTCAGCACGAGTGTGATTTCTGCGGAAGGAGCTACCGCAACGTCAAGTCGTTGCAGAAGCACAAGCAGCAACACCTGGGCCGCACGCAGTGCCCTGTGTGCCTGGTGTTGCTGTCATCAGTATCGGCCCTGCGTCGGCACGTGGCCACACGGCACGGCCAGACGCCGGCCGAGGTCAACCACCTGGTGCCCATCAAGAGGCGTTCCCGACTGGCTGAAGACGGGCAGTGAAGAGGGGAGCAATACCAGTCAAGGGACCACTTGCTTGGTCCTTGAGCGACTGGTCAAGAGGCACGCGTAGCTGTCCGGGGAGCGTTGTTTGTCATCGGCTCCGTTATTGAGGCGGGGATGTTTGAGAGATCTGGGCAGCATCGTGTTTGTACGTTTAGGGAAACTATCTGACTCTTTTCGCTGCCGTCGGAAAATGTTGTGCCCTGGGGACAGTTGTGTGTGGTTGGGCGACGATATACGTCAGGAGCTTCGTCAGATGCTGCGATCTGCTGGGTGGCTAGGTCGCAGTAGTGTCAATGTACGTTTGGACCATGCCCTTTCGAATCATTGTCTGGCATTCCGCGCGAGAGAAACCGGCCGCTGTGGGAAGGACTGTCAGTGCTGGTTTGATGGTGTTGGAAAAAGCTTAACACATCAACAGGCGAGAGGGTGAAAATGACCGCGGCAGTCGAAGTACTCCTTATTTCAAATACCAGCGCGGGGAAGTCTGCGCATACGGCTGCCGGTGGGAGCTAGTAGGCGTGGGTTTATTGAAATGTAGCGCCAAGTCTGTCTTGGAGGGCTTTGGATTTTGTGCACTGTTTTGCACCACGGCGCAAATACAGCAAAAACTGCTGCGACCTGGTTTTAACTGTTGACACTGGTTCTGACCTATGTTGTGCCTTTTACAACACGGACGGCGTCATGGGCTAAGGCAAATTCACTACAAATTGCATGAATACATACAAATGTCTCCTTTTGCATTGCACCGCCGAATGGGTGTAAGCGTTTATGCTGGATCGCTCCAGAAGAGCATGCGTTAGCATGCCAGCACCACCAATGGCCAGCATACGCCAGCCTTAATTCCCGCGCTATCGGTGTCAAATGACTACCGCCATCCTTCCCAAGGACACCTTTTCCTACCAATCGCGCGCGTTGTCTGGCCGCGCAAGATAGCATGGAGCGTCATAAGTGAATCAGCTGCACTGTGTATTAGGACACTTCACTGCCGTGTCGTGACTGCACTATCATTGTCGCCACAGATCTCAAGGTTACGAGGAGGCTTGCCCGCTGTAGGTCACTGTCCTCCTTGACGTATCGGCACCGCATCATGGCGAGCGCCACGTGGCGCGTGACAGGCAGTCGTGACCTCCTCTCGCCGGCCGGTCGTCGCTGTCTCTAACTCCTCCGTGCCCTGGTTTCAGAGCCCGGACGGTACGCATGCGGCGTCTGCGGTCGCGTCTACCGCTCGCTGACCGGCAGGAACAATCACCTGAAGCAACACGAGGGTCTGACCAAGTGCCCCATCTGCGGCAGGGTCAGCAGCATTGTGCCGTCGCTGCGCATCCACCTTCGCGTGGTGCACAAGATGAGCGCCGAGGAGGTATACCGGCTAGTGCCGCTACCGTCCACCTTCCGCCCACCGGCGGCCAGGCGGTATCCGGCCCACGGCACCGACACCGAGCCGACCGGCTAGAAAAGCACATTTGGCTGAGCAGAGGAGGAGGGCCAGTAAGAGACTACTCACTGCAACTGCGCGGATCAGTCCAGTGGAAGAGAAATGACGTGGCAGAGCGAATGGAAATCCGCGACAAAATAAAATCCATGACAGAGCTGTCGGCTCGTGAACACCAGCCTTTCCATAGCGGAGCAAGAGATAGTAACAATAATGCAAACAAAGCGCGTCGACATGGTGGACGTCATACGAACACTGAAGACCGTCGTCGTTACCAACAAAAAGTCAGTGTTTTAGAAGTGAGGCACTATCGGATGGCATTGGGGTGGATGTATCAGAGATTGCGGATCGTGATGTGGGTGGACAAGCGGCGAATATGACTGGCGAAGCGCAGAATGTACAGCGTTGCCGTCAAATGGATTCGTCGCTTTCGACGCCGCCGATTGGCATCCGGAATGGAGTGCGTGAGAGAGCAGCTCTGAGGGACGGTGTCCGTGAGTGGCTTAAACTGCTTCGGACGCCGATGTGCCATCTCTTCAGCACCTGGGAATCACCGTTCTAGAGGGCTTGGTGACGCTTCCGTTGGGCGACTGAATTTGAAAGGTGCGTTCCTTACGTATTTGATAGATGCCTTATGTTTTCTTCGCCATCCACGATAGGTCGGGGTACTTCTTCATGCTGATTGGTTTTGCGGTGTCCACACTAGGCACCTTAGCTAAATTTTTGGTGCTTCGAATTATATTCGACCTGAAAGTGTTCGGATTTCTTGCTTATGATGTGTACCACTGTGTATTGGCGAAAAATTGCATGTTGTGCACAAAAAGGTACTGGTGCTTTACGAGCTATCGATGTACCCTTGCAGTAGACCCATCGAAATAGGCTAAATGATTTGTTCATACAGTCTCGTATCAATAAAGTGGTACCACAGCTATTGCGATTTTGGAGGTGCAATATGGACATGGCTTTCATTCCTGCGGAGATCAAATTTGAATTGCTTTGCTCCGGAAATGGATGAATATCGAACGTGGAATAACTTTGCCGGCCTGCCGACATCAATATCCTTTGTAGGTTTTTCATAGATCCACTGGGAAATGAATTACCTCGCTGTGAGGAAATACCGCTGAATATTGTCAGGCCAACTTTCTGTTGGACAAATAACTTTCAAAGGAGCGCTTATATCGAGATCCGGCAATAGATCCTGAACAGCATCACGTAGAAGTAAGTGTTCACACGACTAATGTGCGTCGATGACCCTTTGTCCGTATTAAGGAACGGTGCAGAAGGTCGTTCTGGAAACGGCAAATGGCCTTAAAATTGTTTTATGTGGGTACATGATGATTCTTATAAGATCGTCTCGCAAGTACCTAAAAGAATCACATATTTTGCCGTTTCATAGCATACAGCATTCTGTCTGAGCTCAGATTGCACAAGATAAACTATTCAACCACATTTTGGTAGCCGTAATATTCGGTAGGATTTTTGACAGCATTTAAAAAAGAAGGCCGTGCTACACTTACAGCATGCCTCTCAGTGAAAGGGACTATTGTGAAGCTCACTTCAAGTAACCTAAGGGGCGTAAAAGCTTAAGGCTTAAGAGCAGGTAACCCAAAGTGGCACCTCACCGCGGCAGGTTTCTTGAGCATCCGCCGTTACGCATCATGCGACTGCGCTCCAAGACAGATGTCTTGCCGTCGTCTAGTTCCCATGCGGCCCTCTAGTGCGGGTGTTTGGAGTAAGCCAGTTGGTGATCGGCGTTGACCAGTCGTTCCTTTCCAGCAGAACTGCCGGGCCACACGTGCGACGTATGCGGCAAGTGGTACAAGTACCGCACGTCGCTCACCAACCACAAGCGCCAGCACGAGGGGCTGACGCTGTGTGTTGTGTGCGGCCTGGCCGCCAGCAACATCAACAACCTGCGCTTGCACCTACGTAACGTGCACAAGATCGCGCCGGAGCAGGTGTCCGCCATGACTCGGCGGACACGCGCGTCGCCCCGCGGCCCTCCCGGCCCCGACGCCGGTTCCGGCGGGCTGATGCTGCTCTAGCACCGGCCGGTGGTGCGGCCAGGTGCGATGAGAAGCCCGGCTGGTGATGAGGGCGGTGACTCGGGGTCACGAGAGCTGCGACTCGGAGGCACGAGGCGTTGACTCGGAATCACAAGGGTGGCGACTCGGAGGCATGAGGCGGCGACCCGGAGTCACGAGAGCGGCGACTTGGAGTCACGAGGGTGGTGACTCAGAGTTACGAGGCTGCGACTCGAAGTCACGAGAGCGGGGGCTCGGTGTCACGAGGGCGGCGACTCGAAGTCACGAGAGCAGCGACTCAGAGTGCACGCTGTTGAGTATACGCCAGATGATGCTTCGAGATTTTGGGATGCGCGGTGTCGTTCGTTGTGAAAGTGGTCCAATGTAGTGGTCTCTTGTGGGCTTATGTGGAGTGCGTTCTGCGCCAACGGGCTCCCACCCCTGGTTGTGGATGGCATATCTCGGTTAATGTATGATCCGTCCTTGGGTGCTGCGACCACTGTATTAACTGGAGTTCAACCGGACCCAGAGTAATCTGCGTATGCTGTGCCTTTCTGTCAACAAATGATGACGACGTTCTGATCGTTGCAGTTCATGGTTTTGCACAAGCGCATACTGATCTACCAGTCATTCCTGTTTGCACGTACCTTCTTTCAGCGGGCTCAGAAATATGCGTTCCTAGTTCCTTTCAGAAGATTGAGCGCGTATTAAGTGCATGCTTCCCAAGACGCGGACACTGGTAGCGTTCGGATCATGCGTGTGGTCTTCGTCTGAGGATGCAGGGTTCGCTGTCTCATAGTGGCTTGGACGCTGTTATGGTATGCGCTGCATTTATGCCTACCATGGTGCAGCTTTTTCCGCCGTTGTTAGACACTCCGCGCTTGGCGAGTAGTGTCTATCTAGGCACACCGATGCAGGGTATAGGCATGATGGATCTTCAGCTCCCATTGTGTTGAAAGCAGGATTGAGGATTGTTGTAAAAAGTTTTGTCCAGGACAAACGTCAAGCACTTGTATTTGCTAAATGTGAATAGGTTAGGACGATATTATAGGTCTAGAGTTGACTATCCGCCTCAGAATATCTTGTGTTCATAGAAGTCTTGCCATTCTCTATTTTAACGTCGTGATGCTGGTGTTTACAAACTGCTGTAATTAACAACCGGTTGCGCGACAGAGCGTCTGTTACATAATGCATGCGTGCATCCGGTATAGCTTAATGGAAAAGCAACGTCTAGCATGGCGAATACTGAATGACTTGGCAAGTGAAACCTCTTGTTATTGGTGGATTTGGCGGTGTTCTTGTCTCGTGCAGATGGCCTAACCAAGAGTGGGTGAGATGTTTTGACGTCGTTAGTCTTCGCAAAGTCTCGCAAAAGGAAGTTTCCGTATATCGCTGCCATTGAACTATCTGAAGTAAATGGTAGCAAATAAAAGTGTCGGCAGCTTTACTTTGTTGCTGCGCCGTTCGGCCTGTGCCACTGCTGAATCCGCCTGCGTAGCTATAAAGCACCAGTGCAAGCCACTCGATGTTTTGTATCGTCAATGCACGCCTCTGATTCCATACGGAGCCTCGAGGCACTCTGTCCGCACGTTGTCTTTAAGTGAGTATTTGTACAAGCAAATACAGCATTCAACAATACAATGGATGTGTGATTATCTACTTTTATTGGTGTAGAATAAATTTGCCGCCTCCTACATCTACCCACACGTAGTTAACGGAATGTGCAGCTACGTCCATGCAATCTTTGTTATGCCATTACCCAAGAACAGGTAACGAGGAGTGCCCCTCCCTCTATCCCAGCGACGCAATAAACCGTACGTTAACACCAGAAAACAGAAAACTGAGCCGCGGCACTCCTAGCTAGCAAAAGGAAACTAACGTAAAGAAGCAGGCGAAGAGATGGTGCAGACCCGGCGGGCATTGTGGTATGCCATAGGCAAGGACAAATCATACATGAGAAGGCTTAAAGAAGTCATAGCAAAGTCAGCTAATGACAGCCCGCTAGAACCAGCCAAGAAGCTACAACCACTCATTCACAGTGTTAGTAAGGGTTGTACAGTCACACAAATCGGAGGCGCAATGAACTGGTCATTTTCGTGCTGGGTTTTAAGCTGGATGTCCAGGGTGTCAACCAGCTGAGTGGAGCTTCTTGCTGGGAGAACTCCCGGAACCAGCGCCATGAATTTGAGTGCAACTGCGTGAATATAACTAAATCAGAACGCAGTTATGGAGCATTAGGGAGGCTAAGTATGAAGTGAGTTACATACGTGCAGGGCAAAAAGTTGCAATATCTTGAAATATGTCGGTTGCGTTAAGGTGTATTCACGAAATGCCTGCGGTAGATGTTCGTTACGGTGGTTTTTGATGCAGAGATATCAGTGATCGTGAGATTAATGATATATCGCGGGAATGATAATCGCGTGAGCTCGTGAACTTCCGTTGGATCTGATTCCACCCATGTTGTACGGCTGCTCACTCATGCGCGCGCATAGCTCTACGGTCGTGTAGCATGAGTACCAACCACTCTTATGATTGCCGTCATTGCGATGTGTTGGATGGACGTCGCGTCATATTTGAAGCTGTTTGCTCATAATATACGATAAATGCAGGCCTTTTCAGCCCGCGTAGGCTTTCACATGTGGTCTGTGAACCAATCGAGGTCGACGTAAGAAACTGTGAATACCCTACACACATGTAGCCCAAATTTTCCTCGGTGGGGCAGCAGCAAAAAGGGAATGTTCTCCGTAATGAGGTGAATTTAGACAGGGTTTATTAAAGTGAAGCTGGATAGGATGAGGCGATGTTTTGTATTCAGATCACATGAATAAGAAGGATTAATGGTGGGCGGTGTGGACAATTTCTCAGAAAAATAACTCATTTTTCCTCATTGACAGCATCAGCTGTAACTGCTGAAGTTGATTGATATCAAACAAGATGAATAGATTATACATCACTGATTTGTGTTGTGGTAACCTTGTCGATGGATCATATTAAATGCAGGCAATTACGCAAAGGCATAGTTTATGCATTTATATAGGCAAACGCATTTTAATTCCACATTCGGTGATTTAAAGTTGGCAAATAAACATCTCTAACGTTTTGGCCAACCTGATGAAGCGTGGGAGCCACTTTGAAGCCTTTAGGTCTGTTCGACCTTCCTTCCGGAAGAGCTTCACATTGAAAGCAGGTACGCCTGTCGCTTTGCCCGCCTCTTACTGACCTGACACGCAGTTTGAGAGCGTGTTGTTACCTGTAGCCAGTCGGACACCCTTTCTGAGAGTCAATCCCTTTGAGAGCGGGACTGACATGACATGTGATATATGGTGGTCTGACACTCCGACAAACAAATGACACTCCGTTTGGGCATCACTTGACCGTTTGGACGGTAGCTCGGCCTGACACCCCTCCAGGGAGTCGCCGACCCGGCGCCCCGCTAATCGGCCGCTTTCCCCGCAGCGTCACCTCGCTTCTGCTGCCAGTTCTGCGGCAAGTCGTTCTCGAGCGTGCGCTCGCGCACCAACCATCTGAAGTTGCACCAGGGTCGGACCGGGTGCCCGGCTTGTGGCGGCACCTACAGCAGCCTGCCCTACCTGCGCCGCCACCTGGAAACCGTGCACGGCATGTCGGCCGACATGGTGCAGGCGATCGCGCCGCTGACCGGCCGCGGCCGACACCTGGCCGTCGATCCGCCGCCCGGCTCCCGAGACGAGACGAGCCGCGCCCGGCTCCCGAGACGAGACGAGCCGCCGCCCGGCTCCCGAGACGAGACGAGTCGCGCCCTCGGCCCGTTCCTCCCCACGCCGGACCCGGCGCGTGCTGCAGCTGGCCAGCCGCACAGCTCCGCCAGCCGGCTCTCCCGCCTCGCCGAGTTGCTGCTCACACCGTCCGACGGGCTTCCCGGCTCGTCTGAGTCGGAGCGGCTCGGCGACGGCGCCGAGCAGCTCTTCGCGACCTCGACTGACCCGGCGAGCGCCGCCGCCGACAGGGTGCCGGCGCTGCCCCTGGGGCGCTAGCGGCGCCCCGGGTGTGAGTCAGACGACCAGCCGCTTGCGCAGGCGACCGGCAAGGATTGCAGACGCACTTCGGCTGGATGGCGACCGACGCCCGCAGAACGGGGGAGCCCGGTTACCAGAGGACGGTGCCGTCCTCAGCGGGCCGCAAACACGCCCGCCGTTCACGGAGAATGTGGGCATGATGTCTGGGTGATGTTGTCGCCGTCGTTTGCCCTGTGACAAGTGTGAAGGAGTCTGCAAGGAAGCAATCCGCTGCGAATGCTGGTGCGGCCGTCGTAGCGTGAATTCTAAATGTCTGTCACGGCAGCGACTTGGGTCACAGCGATGCTGTCAGATCATTACGCCAGTTCATAAGGGTCGATACATTCGTCATCTGGCAGAACAGAGGGTGTGTTTATCGTTTGTCATCATCGTATGTGAAGTGTGTCGTATTCTAGCGTAAACATGTTTGCTATGGGCTGCCTCATCAGAGGGCCTCTCGTTGCCTGAGCATGCTGCTGGTGTCGGCCATAACTGCGAAATTCACCCTTGCTTGGGCGCGTATTGCGCCTCACATATCTAGGCTTCCAATCAGCCAGGGCCAACAGTTGCCAGGGCGCGGTGGCAGTGTCGAAGATCAGGTTTGTTTGTCGTGATCTTACCTTTGCGCTGAGCAGTGACGAACGAACGCTCAGTTAGGGTTGTTCTGCTTTGATGACCGCTTTTGCGACATATACAAATGGTTGTTTGGCGTTGTTTGAAAGTCTGGTGGCTGCTCAGACGGCGTGTTGCTTGTGATGTGTTTGCAGCATGTGTGCCGCTGCACTAGGTCTATAGAAAACGTGTTGCATTTTGCAATCACTGCCTCGGCCAGTTGTTTCCGTCTCTCATGACATGCAAGGTATCGTTGGTTGTAAAGGAACTTGCATACTATCGAGAAATTCTCATCGACGTTTTCGCGTTAGTTTTTTGTGACACTTTAACGATATCTAATAACTGTAACTAAGAAGTCAAACAAGATCTTCGGTTTCACGTTTTGTCCTGTTCAGGTGGTGCATACAATATGCAGGTTTATCGAACCTATCTTCATTTTGACGAACTTTTGCCGTATGCTGCACCCTCAAATTAAGTGCAGGCGTTTAGTTCCCCCGGTATTAGCCGTACGTGAAGCCTCCCTGCTCTCGGCATGTGCCCATCCATGTGTCGTTTTTACTTTTCTACGAACTAGTTTCTATTTGCGTCATGGTTTTATGAGTCGTTCATGTATACTTGTCTGTAATTTTGAATTGCTGTCAGGTTTGATCCTTCCGTTTAACTTACATAAGTCTGGTTAAGTGCATTTGCGAGGAACATTATGCATAGAAATAAAACAGTACTGTTAGCCTTATTTTTCGCACAACAACCAGAAGAAAGGAGAGATAGGTGTATTGATATTTCGGCTACATGCCTTTATCGAAAGGAATGTCAGTAATAAATCACTAGTAAATTTACTACTGATATTTGCTCTGATAAAAGCATGTAGCCGAAATATACATGCACCTATCTCTCCTTTATCCCGGATGTTCTACGAGAAATAAGGCGAACGGTACTGTTCTACCTTTCGCATAAGTATTGATTCCCGATTTTTGGTATCTTGGGATCAGTGACTTGGGTTTGCATCCGCCTTGCCTCTGCTTTGTTGTTTTCCTCATTGTTAGGCGATAGCGTTGCAGCGGCAGTGTCAATGATGCTGGGATGTTGTACGGTTCACGATAGTGTAAGAGGCGAAGGACTAAGATCTAAGGTAGCACTGCCTTAGGCTTAGAAGGCAGCACTCGCTGTCTTCTAGTGCTTCTTTGTTCCTTGAACCCATGTCAACGTGTATTGCTTTGCTTGCTTGTGTCTTTGGGTTTATGAACATCCTACCAACTGGGAAATATAACACACTGCAATTTGTAAACTGTGTGACCTCGAGGAATTCAAGACGGCGTAGTTGATGGGAATCTGATGAATCATTTCTCTGACGGTCACTAGTATGCATCAGTTGTCTATTGTTATGCTCAATATCTCCTCAAACCACAAAAGACTGCTCCCCATAAAAATGTGGAACAAGACTGATTAGGCTGCTCTATTATTACAATGCCTGAAATTTTCCTCTCGTTTTGTTTTTGTTTTGTTTTTGCTTTGTTGTTCTCTTTTTACTAGATTCGACCATGCTCACGCGCTGCATACCAGTGACGGCTACATTTCCGTTCGTTAAAGCACGGATTCTGTTCGTGGTGATCCGGGCTTTGGAATGCATCGACTAGCCGAACGCGCAGCGTTGTGTCATGTAGCCGATAAGCTGAACTCACCGGGTAACAAAGTCGCGGGGCACGTTAAAGACTGAGTGGTGAGATCCGCGCCGTGATGCACTCATTTTCGTCGAACGACATTGAGTTGGCTGGCTTCGCCTTTCCTGTCGGATGGCGTCCTTCGACTTTCTGCGTCTGAATGTGCGTTGTCGGATGCAGCCTTCGTGAACTGAAAAGCGCGAATGCTTGGCCGTACCTCGGAAAAGCACCAACCGGCGTGGTGGTGCTTGGCGGTGATGGTGCAACCAACTTGAAGGGAATGCTCGACATTTGAAGGTATTGAAACAAGCATCAGACATGATGAAATAATGCCCCTTGTAACTATTAGTACACTTTTGAGTGGTGAAGGCTCCTCCAGACAAAACGATTTCTCTGTTGAGTAAATGTGCCTCAACATGTCACTGTTTGATTACGTCATCGTATCTTGCAGAACTTTAATTTAGAGCCAATTTATGGCCGTTATATTTTGAAATCATGCTCACGAACGCTAGATATGAACGATTTAACCATTACGTTTCTTTCGACCCTGATCGCCGTATGGCCTATGAATATGTAGATTTGAACGGCATTGTTATGACGCCATGAGCGCCAAGGTGACCTTGAAATACTCTCCCTGAAGTACTCTCATTTTCTTGAACCTGTAGCGTATAGACTACAAGGGTTTTGGTCTTATGAAGGGCAGGGCTATAAACTGCACCGAAAAATCTTCAGGATAGGTAGTTCAGCTCAAACCCCATAGAAATGTGGAACACTCGCTTCAAGATAGCTCAGCTGAGCTTTACGTAACCTTCAAGCAGCTCTCACGTTTTTTTAAATTGTCGAGCAAGTGCAGTAACCCGTGCTACCTGCCACGGAACGGTTTTTGCACACAGAGTCTGGGAAAGTCGTTCCGCAAAATAATTTGGGAGAGGGGGGGCTGAGCAGGGGAAATATTAAGTCCCTCCCCCCCCCCCCCCTTCACCGCCACACTCAAGCACACACGCCCCAAAACGGGTTTCTCCTCGTATTACGCTCACTTTCCTTTTAAAGTCAGCAACATTAAGTCCCCTTCCCCCAACTAAATAGAGAAGTACACTCCTGCCGTTGTCCTTGTGGGGGGGGGGGGGGCGAGGCTGATCTACTCAGGTGCATCCGGACCACACCGCGTCCGTCCCCTCGCCCTGTCCCCCTACCCCCGCCACCCCGCCCAGTCCCAGATCCGCTTTCCACAGGTCATATCGGTACCTACAAGTACGCAACGCAACACTAAGCCTTCCGCTCTGTCGTTACCTTCAATGCGTTCATCTGCTTGGATACAGTTGTACAACACCCCACCCTGGTGCGTGTCCAGTGCAAGAGTTCATCTCAGTTTGTACGAACTACTCACACTATCACCCCTTGCCGTAGTCGCCGACTGTGACAGCGCCACTCTTAGCGTGTGTTGAATGTAGCAGTGCGGTAACTGTGGTGTCGATGAGTCTAGGTACTACTGTAACCGTACACCTCCCGCTTTGTAGCGCCTTCGACAGTATTCCCTCCCGGCAGGTACGGCCCAGTACCAGTGCAGCACCTGCAGTCGCTGGTACACCAACCAGCGCTCGCTGGTGTTCCACATGCGGAAGCACCAGGGCCTGTGCACGTGCCCCGTGTGTGGCCGTGTGTGCAGCATGGTGCACAGTCTGCGCCGCCACATGTACACCGTCCACAAGATGTCCACCGGCCAGGTGTCGGCCGTGTTGCGGCAGCGTGGTCTGCGTGTGCACGGCTCGTTTGAAGGCATCCCGTGAGCGGCAGCGGGCGGCGTGGACGGGTGACAGTGAGCGGCGTGGACGGGTGACAGTGAGCGGCGTGGACGGGTGACAGTGAGCGGCGTGGACGGGTGACAGCGAGCGGCGTGGACGGGTGACAGTGAACGGCGTGGACGGGTGACAGTGAGCGGCGTGGACGGGTGATAGCGAGCGGTGTGGACGGGTGAGCGGCGTGGACGGGTGACAGCGAGCGGCGTGGACGGGTGACAGCGAGCGGCGTGGACGGGTGACAGTGAGCGGCGTGGACGGGTGACAGCGAGCGGTGTGGACGGGTGTCAGCGAGCGGCGTGGACCGGTGACAGTGAACGGCGTGGACGGGTGACAGTGAGCGGCGTGGACGGGTGATAGCGAGCGGTGTGGACGGGTGACAGTGAGCGGCGTGGACGGGTGACAGCGAGCGGCGTGGACGGGTGACAGCGAGCGGCGTGGACGGGTGACAGTGAGCGGCGTGGACGGGTGACAGCGAGCGGCGTGGACGGGTGACAGTGAACGGCGTGGACGGGTGACAGCGAGCGGTGTGGACGGGTGTCAGCGAGCGGCGTGGACCGGTGACAGTGAACGGCGTGGACGGGTGACAGTGAGCGGCGTGGACGGGTGACAGTGAGCGGCGTGGACGGGTGACAGCGAGCGGTGCGGACGGGTGTCAGCGAGCGGCGTGGACGGGTGACAGCGAGCGGCGTCGACGGGTGATAACGGTGCGGCGGGATGGCTCGGATGGCAGCTCGGAACCGACCAACCAATCAACGAACAACTGCAGTCGTGGAGGGGATGTTGTACCTGGCATTACGGACTGATGTCGTAGTTGTAGCGGTCATGCTTGTACCGCGTGCTCGCTGCGAGACTCCCGTCCGGTACGGCGGGTCTCGCTGCGAGACTTCCGTCCGGTACGGCGGGCCTCGCTGCGAGACTTCCGTCCGGTGCGGTGGAGGCTCGCTGCGAGACTCCCGTCCGGTACGGCGGGTCTCGCTGCGAGACTTCCGTCCGGTGCGGTGGGGGCTCGCTGCGAGACTTCTGTCCGGTGCGGTGGAGGCTCGCTGCGAGACTTCCGTCCGGTGCGGTGGGGGCTCGCTGCGAGACTTCCGTCCGGTGCGGTGGCGACTCGCTGCGAGACTTTCGCTTAGTGCGGTGGGTGTTCGAGCTGGCTGTGTCGTGTGATCACTGTTCAGAGCTTGCGAGGCTGCTGAGACAGGATTTCGAGTGTGTGGGTACCGGCAACAGTGTGACCTGGTCGGCCAGTGCAGCCGATAACGGTGGTAGTGTGTTTCTTCATTTATTGCTGCTCCGTGCATGTGCATGCTCTGAATTGTCTTTTAGATCCTTGATGTTCTTAATTGCACTTGCGCGCAATCGGCGGCGCCGTACTCTCATCTCGCCTGAGCTGTCTGATCCGCCCTTTTCATAGTATTCCGTCCCTTTGTGTTCCCCCCTCAGTTGAAGTAATGGAAGCGACGCCTATGGAGCGATGTACAGACCTGTTATTGCAGATTTAAGTTACGTATCTGCTGGGAGAAATGTGTCCTGTGATTGCCGTTTTGTGCTTGTGGCCCATCTTACTTGCTTTTTAGTGAGATCATGCTGGGTGGGTCAGCTTCTGATCACAGCGGGCGTCAGCCTTGGAAGGCGTGGCGTATCTTTGTGCGGTTGGTTACAGCCCCAATGTGTGCAGACATGAAGTGAAACTGTCTTATAATATTGTGAATATGTAATTTTCGCTTGCTTGCATCCTTCTACCTTCATGTTTGTCGATCGGAATAAATTGTCAGATCTTTTCCGCTGCTGGCAATCGTACACATCATATTTAATGCATTAAATTAGCTGATACGGAGCAACGAGGCTTGCAGCTGAGCGGAGACGTCGGAGCAATGAATGCCACTTAAATGACTTTTAAGGATGCCCTTGATGAGTGTTATCAGGTAGCAGATGCGGAGTCATAGATCATTGGTTTCGTCAAGCTATGTGGAAACATTTCTTGCGTTAACGTGAAAGGTAGGTGAACAAGGAAGGCCCTTCTCATAACGGCCATTGGCGGTAAAGTCGTGGACTGGGTACCCCCAGAGGTCAGGGATGGTTTTAGGACCGCACTCCTCTTCCGCTCAAATATCTGCTCAGTCTTCACCAGGGTTGTCGACTCGTGTACCTGACTGTGTTGGAGAGGGGTTGTAGCGGGGGGCACAACACCCAAACCTTTCCCAAATGTGTGTTTTTCAATCAGCTCGGACCACTCTATTCTATTAAACAGGAATCTTTTTTAGCTTTGTCGCATATATCAACCAAATCTCCGCGTAATTTATGGGTTCCTCGTTTATCCCTTCACATATCATTTTCACAGCGCCGGTGACGAAATAATCATGATAGCTTGCCTTTAACGGAAATTGCAACTTGAAAACAAGCCAACGATGCTCAGTCTTCTGTTGACCAGTTTTAGCTCATTCCGAAAGTTAATTGGTGGACAAGTTGAGGTGTTTGGACGACCGTGAAACAAGACTGTGAGTATCAGTAACTACTCACATGGTCTCACTTTCTCCACCCGGCATCACAAGTTTTTTTTTTTTTTTAAATGCAAGCATCACACCGGTGGCTCGGCCGCCTATACACAAAGTCAGCAAATGTACGGCACAGGACACAAGACTAGCCCAGCGTAAGGCGCTCACCGAAGCGACGTTAAACCTCATCACTTATTAGTAGTGACGAGATCAAAATGTTTCACAGTATAACTGACGAATTATGGTATTTCGCAGGTGTCCAGGTACATGTATGCACAAACATTAGGGAGTGTTCTTCAAGGATTTTGAACTGAAGTAGCCATCTTAAAGATTATCCGCTTTAGTTGACAGCTAGCCTGCCCTGCTTAAGATGTAAACCATTCTAGCTTCTGAGCTACACGCCCGCCAAAAAGGTGTAGGCTTCAGACTGTTCAAGGTCACCCAGGCATCCATCGCTATAATAACGTCATTCAAATCCTGTTATTCCATCGGCCATGCGACGATCAGGATCAAGACATAAACAGTTGTCAAGTCGTTCATATCTGATGTACGTGAGCACGATTTCTGGATATAACGACTGTCAGTTGACTCTCAAGCGATTCCGAGCCAAGTGCGATGGCGCAATCCAACATAGACGTGTTGAGGAGCATATTTGCTTAATAGAGAAATTGTGCTGTTTAACGCAACGTGTTCCACTTTCAAGTATACTAGTAGATATAAGTGAGCTTACTTCAACAAATCGCTCGCTTACTTTAATGTCTTAAAATGTGGAACATTTCCTTTCATGAAAACAACACTGATATTACATGATCTCGACTTTGGCAAGGATGTGATATTTGAACATAAGATCTCAAGATGTGTTGTGTAATTGGTTTCGGGAAGTTGATGTTCCAATAAAAGAAGTGGGGAAAATGTGACTCTGTTGTCTGAGGTTGGAGTCACGAAAGCCATGAAAACAGCAAGAAAGCAGGTTAGGATCGTTAACAGCAGAGATGACTATTTTTAAATGATTACGAAAGCTGACCCAGATCTTGAAATTTAACTTCGCTCATATTAAATTTGGAACAAATTTGGCTTACTTGATTTTAAAGATGGACAATTTTGGGGCTTCAATTTGTACAAGTTATCAGAACGTACTTAATTTGAGGAGCATTGTAGACAGGGCCATTCATTACTGCGTGCGAAGGCTCTTAGGCTTGGGTGATGTCATTTCTTCAATTTTGCAATATCACAGGAAAAGACATGGGCGGGTGCCCAAACCAACATTTCGGGCACCACTCAACGTTGAAGGGTGCATGACTTACGCAAGAGAATGTAAAGCGACACACGTGTTTTACAGCCGATGCTGATGACGGTAGTTAACTTTGGCTCAAAATGTACCAAAGTTAGCTACTGGCACCAACAAAAACAACTAAAATCAGTGAAAACAGTGGCGTCACGGAACTTGCACGGTTCTTGGCATGCAAATTGTCATCTCTTTGTATTTTTCCAAACAGCCACTGTACTTTTAGTCGTGGCAGTTCTGCTTTCCCCGATGCATCGAGCCCCATGCTATTTGCGTCCATTGCGTCTAATTGCGTCCAACCCATCTATTTCGGTTCTTGACAATGCTTGTCCTGAAATTCTCCACTGCTGATGTCATTACATGTGGAAAATTTGCTGTTAAATGCATTTTACGCTCCTTTGGGATGTTTTGAACTTCAATGGCTGAAGGTGACTTTGCACGGTTTTGGATGACTCAGTTTTTCACGACTCAAATTTCAATAACTGGTAATGGCTTTCAGCATCAATGACTCCACCTCCTCCGTTACGACTTTTCACCGCAAATTCTGACTTAAATACATCTATAACGGAGTCGAAAAGGATCACCTTATCATCAAGCATTTCTTGTCGCAACGCTATTCCTCCCCGCCAGTGCAGTTCCCAGATCCGTAAGGACGGGTCGCAGCAAATAAACTTCAACTAATTAGTAAGCTGCGAATGAGGATCTGCTTTCCAGAGCCGCCATTTTCTGAGTTTTGGAAAACCCGCGCTCGCCGCGACACAAATTTTTAAACCCGCCCCACCTAGCAAGGAAAGTTCCCAAAGAAGCTCGCTCGAGTCCGCCAACCTTATTTTTTATTTTAACTGTGCATACTCAGCTTTGCCATATTCTTTGGTATACTACTAATGCCAAAACAAGATGCTGTAATGCAAACATATTTGTTCCCTAAAATATCTGTTATGGCCTACACTGAGAACTCATGTCTTTCATTACCGTCACGTATATTTGCGCCGTCATGATGTAAGGGCCACAGCAAGAAGCTGTAAATATACAGCTTATACATGCAATCTTCTTGGTTCCAGATGGCACCCCATGCAGTCATTTTTGACCAAGGCGATATCCGCATGGTCCTTTACAGAACGTTCTTGAAAAGGAGTCATTAATTCAGTCATTAAAATAAAAGAAACCTGAGAGCTCCAACCAGTGTCATCGTGTAACATTACTGAATCTAC